CCATCTCTTCCCAGGCTCTTCTCAGCTTCCTCTGATTGGCTCTTCCCTGGAAGCCACACCCAAAGGTTCTTTAAGGCTGTTCCAATGGGCCTTCTAGGTTAGGTCTGCTCTGGCAAGTGGGAGACCCATTAGGAGGTAGACCCAGGCAAGTGGTACCTCAGACAAGTTATGATCTGGCATCCCTTCCAACTGATATTCTTTAAAAATTTGTCTGGATATACCCGATATTAAAATTGGAAAAAATACATTATTATAAAGGGAAATTACAAACATATCCAGATGAAGTAGAATGATTTTTAAGTATTTCTTCTTTTTCTATTGTCTATAAGATTTGGCATGATCTGTTTTTTGAAATTACCTTCTATTTTTATTTATAAAAATAAATATTCTCTATTTTTTGAGACTGGAAAAAAAAAGTTAACTGATGACTCCATACTGAACCTCAGAGTCAAAGCATTGTATGATAGACATACTTTTATCTGACAGTGTGATTGTTACTTTTTTTGCATTATTATTATTATTGCTCAATATTTCGCTGCAGCAAACATCTGATTTCTTTTCCAAATGTATTTATCTTCCTTTGTTCTTTGTGACGTTTCTGTTTCTAGTCCTTATCTTAAACATTGTTACTGTTATTAAATTTTAAGCCTCTTTAATTTTGTGAAGGCAAAAAGTGGAAACCAAATAATCACATGTACATGTGAAAAAAAAATAACAAAAAATTTGTCTGGAACATAGGCCTAATGCGGCCAGGGGAGAGCATTGAAAGGGAACTGGAACCCCCACGGCCTTAAGTAATGCATTCTGCCTGCAGAGCCCAGCCAGCAGTTCACAGGACTCACCTACCTTCAAAGTGGGTACCAGGCAGCTTGAGCTTTCTTCCACCCACAGTAATCCCCATGATGGGAGTTCCAGTAAATTCCATTTTCTCATCACATTGTAATCCCAGGCTATTTTGTGTTCCTTATAGACTTGCCTGGGTCACCTTCTGGGTGGCCTGCCCTTTGATACGACTCTGTTATGAGATAGGACTCGCAGAGCAGAAGAAAGGCTCTTGGTGTTGAAGGCAGCCCATCCTTTGCTGCTTGTCTAATATTTGCCTGTCAGAGACCCATCTCTTAGGGCTTTTTAGCTTTAAGGAACTTATATTAACATTTCCCAAATTTCCTAATGGGATGGGATCAACTTTGGGGGCATTATCAGATCATATGTAAAAGTTAAGCTTCTCCTAAAGACATAGACTGGCAGTGGGAGAAGAAGAGAGGAAGAGCAGTTAAAAGTGGGGAAAGGAAAAGAAACAGAGGTCAGGAAATGACTGCTTGGACAGCTTTAGGTGAGGGGGATTCAGAGGAGGGGAAGGGTCTGCCTGGGCGTGGCAGAGGAGCTTGCCACCTTGCCTAGCAGAGGTCCCACGGCTCATGTGGTGTTTTGGGTGAGCGTCACGAGTCCTCATGTTTTACTCACCTGAATATCGAATCTTAAAGCCCTTCCGATTGTAGGCGTGATCAGATGACCAGCGCAGGTACACAGAGCTGCTTGAGCTGGTGACAGCCAGGGGAGCTGAGTAATTCCCACTGAGGGCTTTCAGCAGAGGACTCTGTCCTGAGGGCCCTGGGGTGAGAGTGACAAAGGATTGCAGACATCAGAGCTGTTGCAGACAGCCTCAAGTGAAGACACTAGGGCTCAGGGGTCTGGGTAACTCACTCAGCGTCAGCAAAATCATCTGTATTACACTCCTCTCTGCATCATCCCTGAGCACTGCTCAAGGGGACCTCTGCCCCCGACCTCAGTGCTCTAGGAGGTCCCTGCCCACCTGTACAAGTTGGTCGGTGAGACAAAATCTATTTGCCATTTTGGGACATGACCAAGGTCAAGCAGCTAGTTAACAGAAGAACTGGTTCTCATGCTTAGAACTCCCTTCCCTTGGCCACCCTACTTCTCTGTGTCTGCTAAAACCAGCTTGGTGTCCGCCATAGATAAAGAATATTTATTGAATGACTATATAGCAATAAAGCTAGAGGAAAATGTCACGTCTCACTGTCCTAAGTAACAAAGCTTCCCAATATTGCTTTCTAGGGCTCTTCAGGAAAGGTCTCCTCTTCCTTTTTCTTACCTTAAGTGCCTGGGATTTTGTCCTGGGGCTGGGGCTAGCTCAAGGGAGGCAGAATATGAAGCTGGATAATCCCTAACACGGGACTTACTACCCTGGAAAAGGCCCTGAGTGATGACTTCAAAATGCTGCTGAGACCCCAGGAGCTGGGAAAAGTAATGGCCACGTTTAGCAAAGTAGAGCCATCAGAACTGCTGTGACAAACTACGGGGCAGGGGTCAAAAGGCTCAGAGGACTGTCGTGCTGGAATAGGCCTATGGTGTATGAGTGGAACACCCACTAGCTGAGGGCTGGGAGGACTCTGGCTACTGAAGCAGTCAGGTGAGGAGCCAGTGAGGAGGTGAACAGTGGCAAGACTGACAACCTGAGTAAAGGCTTGTCCTCTGCAGGTGGAAACTGATAGATGCTGTCAGACAACCAGGCTCCCTGGCAGTGAGGAGGAGATCCTAGAACACTGAGGCCAGGTGGGAAGCAAGGTTGGTATAATTTCTAAAATGGGTGGCAAGGTTGGAATGGCAGCTGGGAGGGCCTCACTCCCAGGATCTATGGAGATGCTTCATGGAACATGGCATTCCTAAGGGCAGGACAGATGGGCAGCCAAAAAGTACGAATATATGAACGTAAGTACATGACCAGTGGAAAGTTCCAATCCATTGCCCGATGTGCAGACCCCAGTCAGGTTTCATTCCCACTCCAGAGCACTTGGGCTGAGGAACAGGCTGGGCCCCTATGAAAAGGGACCCTGCAAATGACACCAATTGTACACAGTAGTGATTCCTGCAGTTCCTTCCCCAAATGACCAGCCTCTGTTTACTCAGGTAACTGAATATTATATTATGAAAAAGGAAATGTCCAGATGTGGAAGGCAGATGGGCTGAATTCCTCAGCAACCTTTCAGCTCAGGGTGAAGTACTCAGTTGGAGGAATGTCTATGTGACTATCCCTGCATGGGGAAATCAGCAGTGCTGACTAGTAGCTTAGGCTAGAGAAGCCGAGATGTCTGTCTGAGGAGATGAGACTTGCTCTCCCCACTCTCTTTTCGGGTTGCACCGTTGTCTGGTCACTTCAGATGTTCCATTATCCTATGTCCTTACTTAGCCTTTACTCAGCTTTCCTGGAGGCTGTAATCTACCCTCTCTCATTCTTTTTTTTTCTTTTTGAGATAGAGTCTCATTATATTGCCTTTAGTAGAGTGCCATAGCATCATGGCTCACAACAACCTCAAACTCTTGGGCTTAAGAAATTCTCTTGCCTCAGCCTCCCAAGTAGCTGGGACTACAGGCACCTGCCACAATGCCTAGCTTTTTTTTTGTTGTAGTTGTCATTGTTGTTTAGCTGACCCGGACCAGGTTCAAACCTGCCAGCTCTGGTGTATGTGGCTGGTACCCTAACCACTGAGCTATGGGCACCGAGCCCCCTTCTCTCATTCTTAACTTTCACTGCTGCCCCCTGACTGCTGTGCATCTTTGCACATATACTCTGTTATGATACCCAATAAAAAAAATCTGGGAAATCGGAGGTTGCTGCATTGTTTTCATGCTGCCACCTGGCACATGAAACAGTGTTTGCCCTTATAGGCTTCCAGGTTCTATGCACTAAGTTTGGTGTAAGTTTTGTGATTTCTCCAGAGCCGTCTCCACAGCTGACCACTGTTCCAGGTTGGGGTCCACTAGACTCCCAACACAGAAATACCTAGGACTTTTGCATACAGGGTGTGAATTGATACTGATACCAGTATTGTGGCTCTTCTGCTAGAGGAGGGAGTGAGTGGGTCAGGGTGGTGACAATAGAGTCCTGGCCCAGGTCTGCCTCACAGCATCAGCTTAACCAAGTAGGAGCCTCCACTGTAACAGCTGTGCCAGCTGCAGTATCTCAATTAGAGCGGATTAACACAGTCCTGGTCACGTGGAATGAGCTATTGATCTGGAAGATCATTCTTTTTCTTTCTGGGTGTAGTTAAACACACATGATATAGAAATTTAACAGTTGTGCATGTAGCTGCTTCAAGGTGCTTAACAAAAATCAATTAATGCCACATGCAACCTCCTGTATTACATGCAACAACCCACAGAGAATGTGATGTAAGCTTTAAAACAAAGTGAAGTTCTTGTTCTAGTGGGGGGAATTACTCGGTAGTCAACTATCAATGGAGATTGAGTTAAGAGGAGGGCTTAATAGTTCTCTAGTTAGCTTTCTTGATATCTTAGCTTTTATCTGTAATAGAAATTATAACCTTAATCCTATTTTTCCTGACAATCTTGCATTTTTTTTAAAAGAAAAACTTTCTGCCACATTGAGCAGAAGCTACATCATTAAACTAACAATTTGAAATAAAACATGTAGATAGCATTTTCGAATTACAAAAAGCTTTTATAGCCAAACTTTCATTTGATACCATCATATTTTTTTTTGTTTGTTTGTTTATTGTTGGGGATTCATTAAGGATACAAGAAACCAGGTTATACTGATTGCATTTGTTAGGTAAAGTCCCTTTTATAATTGTGTCTTGTCCCAAAAGACACTGAGACTCCCTACTCCCCTCCCTCCATCCCTCTCTCTGCTCTTCCCTTTTAGAAAGTAGGGTCAGAAGCAGTCTGCATTCACGTAAGGTAGACACAGTATACATTCATGGTTTTGTACCAGAGCTATGTTAATTCCCCTGCTTTCTGTCATAGCTCAGTATGAAGGGATGGGGACCATCTGGACGTCCTGCAAAACACAGTGTATCCGTCACCATATTGAGGGCATCATTTTAATCAAATCAGATGAGTAAGAAGGGACATTAGTGTAGATGCCTTTGCAAGTCACATGTGCTCCAGAGGGGAAGAGGTCGATCCTACCAAGTTTGCAGTGAAATGTTTGGGTCTAGTGGTCTGGACCATGCTCAGACTTTCCCTCCAAATTAAAGAGCAAATCATCACACTTTTCCTTTCCTACCACCAAAGAGCAACACAATATTTGGTAGACCTTTTTGGGGTTTGGGAGCAGCACTCTTGGGAGGACTGTTGGCATTCAAGGATGCTGGTTTGAGTGGGGTCTACAGCAAGAATGGATTCTGTAACAGGTGCAAGCTGCAATGTAAGCAACTCTATCAGTTCCCAGGGTCTCAGGGTTTCTGTGGCAGAGAGAGATGTCATATGGAGCCTCTCCAGTGGACCCTATAGGAAAACTGCAGCACGGACTCCCTGTCTGGACCAAGGTCATGCCATCCGTAGTACATAACTGACTTACCATCAAAGATCTCAAACTCATCATATTGCCTTTCGCTGAGGAAGTACTCCACGGTGATGGTGATGTTATATTCTGGTTCCACCCTCACCAGCCAAGAGCAGGTCTGGAACTGGGGGTAGCTCCCTGGGTAGCTCTGACTCAGGATCACGCCTGTGGAGTCTGTGAGAAGCTCATTCGTTGGGCAATGCACTTGGAGAAAGAAACAGAAATATACCAGGGATGTTGGTGGAGATG